CACACACACACTATGCAGGGGTTTTCTGGTTACAGAATCCCAAATGACTGTAATGCCACTTCACTTATACATCCAGACCAGAACAAAGAAATCCACATAAATAAGCAAGAAGAGGAGTTTGGACAAGGTTGCTCTTTCTTTGAGATCTTTTCTCCAGATTAATGAGTTTATTGTTTTGCTGCATGGCATCTGTTTTGTGAGAGTTCCTGAATTTTGGCTTCATGAGTAGATCAAAGCAGCCTTACAGTGTGATCTATTAAATGCAAATAACAAATCATATAATACCATTAAAGATCAAGTGTCTGTATAATGTGTTATGTCGTTGGCAATGTCATATTTAAACATGTATCAGAGATGTGCCTCTCTTCTATAAGCGTGCAAGAAATCAGAGAGAGATACGAGCAGAGGAACAGGAATTATAGCTGGACTCATTTATTTATAAAAAAAAAAAAAGAAAAGTAATTTGATTTCTGTCTGGATTGATTGTTTTTAAATGTTGTTTGTTTTTTGTGCCTGTACAACTTTGATTAATGTGTGCTTTCTGTAAATAAAAACGTACAGTATTAAATAACCCTTTATAAAAATAAAATGAACTGGCCTTTCACTGGAAATACACATTTTATTTTCATTTAAATGAATACCGAAGTTCCAAAATACCAAAAAAAAAAAAAAATCTTGATTTCAACACATCTTGCATTTAAAATCATTAAAGAACACTGTTTATCACGATTCATATAGGCCTTATGTAGCTCTGCCCCTTTTCAGCGCTGCACTCGTTGTCTTCTGTCTTCCGTTTGTATTTCCACAGTGGGAAGGTGGTCGTACAAATTTATGAACGAACCACTCGTTTTAAAATCTTCCTGGCCTACTTACATTTGTTAGGACATCCACCTGGATCATTACAATGCTCATGATAACTTTCGTTGACTCTACAATAAGTAAATCCACTTCAAGAGCTCATTACTCTTCAACAGTGATGCAATAGAGCTACTGCAATAACGGAAGTTCAAAGACAGAATTTTAAAGATGGCCGCATGCTTGTTTTTCTGACGCATAAGACGTATAATAACAAAGATCTTGTAAAGAAAAAAAAATATTGTGTCTAAGCTGTTGTCCTCTTTCTTTCCTAAAAGCATCACATCATCATCATCATCATCATCACACTCTCAATATTCACATGTCAAATCCATAATGATGATCATAAATGTGTCTCACCTGACGTGTGTCTCATGTAGATGTGAAAACCTCCTAACAGACCCAACAGAACCATCAGCTGGAAACCCCAGACCAGCACAAACACCACAGACACTGAACACACTGAACAACACAAACACATCAATCAATCAATCAATCAATCAATCAATCAATCAATCAATCAATCAATCAACACCACAGACACTGAACACACTGAACAACAACAGTTAGACAGAAAACAAACCCATCCTTCATGTTTCCAGTGGCGTGTTTGTTAAACTCGTACCACATTCTGATGTGTGTGAGCTGCTGGTCACTGCAGAGGTCAAACTAGAGGTCACAGCTGCAGTAGTTGGTCCTGAAATAAAACATCAGCACAGAATCACCTGCTTTCTCTCTCTGAACCACATCAACACCACTCACTGCTGAGATCAAACTGAAACAAACTCATGACACTTTTCAAGAATTAAGAGAACTGACTGTTTTACACCATTGGTGTTGCTGTGGTTATATGTGACATTCATGTATTAGAAGCTCACCAGGACAGGGTTGGGTATGTCAAATTTAGGCGAAAATACCAAAAAACGCCCCGAGCTTAAGTGGTTTTAATGTGACTTCAGGTCTGTTATTATAATAATCACAATACATCATCCTGCCATATTTTACTCTACAAACTGGATCATCTTGTGTGTTGTTGTTTATTCTCTTTTTTAACGTCAGGTCATATTCACTAGCGTCCAACACCGTCAGCAGATTGAATTTGTGTCCCAGAGCTGCGTAACAGGGATCAGATTGATCAAACCAGCAGAAACACACACACACACACACACACACAGAGAGACACACACACACCATGAATTAAAATGACACATATTACACAGACATATACAGAATTTTCAAGGACCTTGAGATCAATATTTTTTTATTTGTTTTTCAAGAGATTTGAAATGTGTATATTTGCTAAAAGCTAATGTCACATATCACACAGACATTTACAGAATTTTCAAGGACTTTGAGATCAATATTTTTTATCTGTTTTCCAAGAGATTTGAATCTTTGTGTGTATATTTGCTAAAAGCTAATGTTGCAATTTTGAGGAGTACACAAGCATATGGATGAGTGCAATGATACAGACATGAATTACTGATAGAGAACTGAGAATAGGGATGAAAGAGGAAAGAACAGAGTGGAAGAGGAAGTTAGACAGATAGACAAGTTAGAAAGAGCTGTAAGAGCAGTAGATATAAAATAAAATATTAGCTTAGTTTGCAAGCTCTTTAGAAGCTAAAGTAATATATTTGAATCAATCAGTGAATGAGGGATTTCTGTGAAGAGTTTATACAGATGAAGGAGGAGGTGATGAATTCAGACTCCTGACTTAGAATTTCATCATGAACTTAAAGCCACAAACTTCTAACTGTGATTTCATGGGTCTATAAACAGGTGCTGCTATTATTCCACTAACTGTACACTGTTAAAACACATTTGAACTTTTAAACACTTAACACAGACAACTATTGCTCTAAACTGTTTTATTTGTATAATATTAGTGTATTTATTTGAGAGATTTATGAGTTTGATGTGGAAGTGACTCACACGCAGCAGTTTGCAGCAGCAGCATCAGTCCAAAGATCAGCATCATTTCTCTAAAGTCCAGTTTCCAGAAGAGCCCAATCCCAGCAGAAGAGTGTCAGATCGAGTCTTCACTGACAGACAGACAGCAGCTCTACTGATACACCAGGAAATTACACCACTTTAACAAAGAAAGAAGAAAGAGGAAGCTTTTCAGAGAGGGTCAATGTGGGTCAATAGCTTCTACTTAAACAAAGCCGAGCTGCTTGAGTTTTTGTGCCAGGAGTGGCATAAAGTCACCCAACAGTAATGTGAAAGATTGGTGGAGAGCATGCAAAGACGCATGAAAGCTGTGATCGGAAATCAGGGTTATTACAACAAATATTGATTTCTTAACACTGAAACTGACAGATATTGATGGAAAGTATGATAAAAATAATTGTTAAATATAGCAGATGAATGTGTCACTTACATACACATGTTTTGGCTACATGACAGATATTAAAGTCAGTTTATGTTGTAAGGTATTTATTTAATAGCATAATTCATCTGGACAAAGATTTTCAGGAAATTCATACAACAGTGTCTGGTATCCAAAAGTGTCGTCGAAGTCTCAAGAGACTGACAGAGGAGTGAGAGTGTATAAAGGAGGAGACAACATGATGGTGAAAATAAGCAGGGTTTTTTTAGTAATCTTAGTTGTGTCTGCTGTTAATGCTCTGTGTCAGACTACATACAAGCACAAATTCAATAAAAGTTATGATACCAAAATGAATGCAGTGGAAATTGCTGCTTCACAAGCACTACAAGAGCAAGCGAAAAGTAAAATAATGAGTAATACAAATTAATAAATTGTTTTAGGATGCATTATAAATTATTATGATTAAATTGAATAATTAAATTATTAAAAGATGAATGATTATATATGAACAAATGAATAGCAAAATGTATAACCCGCATACCATTATAAACAAAATATATGTTGGACTTCGGCTACGTCTACATTAATCCGGAGACAGCAATTGTGAGTAAATTTACTTGACTGTAATATGAAGAGTGAACAAAGTAACATATCTTTAGCAACAGTGTGAAAACGAATAGCACATAGCAGGCACAATATCTATTGGTACAATATGCATCACATGACTAAACAACATGCATCATTGTTTTAAAAAAAATCAATTTCACACTACAAAACGATGTTTTCAAATTTATCCACTTTGGAGAATATTTTCCTTCACAAAAACACCATCTCAGTGTGAACGGAAGGCCAAAACGGAGAGAAAAAGATGAAAACATATAAAATATTGCAAAAGACAACAAAACGTTATGCATTAAAAGCATATCTGGAAATAAAGATTATGAAGATTAAACCAGGAAAATGCCATCAAGATGTTATCTCAAAAATCTCAGTGTAAGTTCTACCCATAAACATAATGAGTACAAACAAAAATGTTAAAATATTAATAGTTTCCCAAAGGATAAACATTTATCCATTGGTGTTGGTAGTTGGAAGCAGGGACTTGGCTCAAGAAAACACACACACACACACACACACACACACACACACAGACACCACATGAGTGTACATTGTGAGAGGAACTTACCTTTGCTGGACTTCCCGTATTTCCAGCAGTATGCCAATGCACTCAGCGTAACACACTGCAGAACAATCACAACAACCACTCCATAGCCAATGGTGTTCCAGTCAGGCCAATTTGCTGTGTCATGTGTGGCAGAATCTGCAAGCATACATTAAAGACGAAAGTGTTTTCTTTTTATTTTGCTGTGTTTAGTACACATCCTAAATGACATGAACAAAACGGTACAAATGCTGCTCAAATGCAACCCCGAGTCTATGCAATTATTCTGAGGTCAGGGAGACATGTGTCATGTTCAAACGTGGTCAGAAGTGTATTGTGAACAAGAATGACAGATTTTGCTATCTTTTGTTATTCCTGTTACAGTAGATAGACTGACATTCATATTTTGGTTATATTGTCATCAGAGACATTGCCTAATTTCATGTCACCATTGTAGATTCTACTCAGAACAGGATGGAAAGTAATAAAGACTAATATTGAACTTAAGAAACAATTAAACTTACCAGTATTAAATTTGAGATCAGCTTTACCCCTAGTTATCCAAACATCATAAGGTGTGTTCACCTCACAGTAATACTGGTTCCCTTTCCACTCCTCTGGAGTCACTCTTAAAGTGCTGCTCATTTGGAAGGTCCCGTCTTCATTTAGCTGGAGTTCTCCAGGGTCCACGTTATTATTGTGGTCACGTCCATTTCTTGTCCAGGTAATTGTCAGATTTGCTGGGTAGAAACCTGTGACTTGACATACCACTGGAGAGGAGGGCTCTTTCCGGATCAGAAATACCTTTGGTGGAACTAGACAGAGAAAAAAAAGGGCCAATTGTGAACCAGAGAGCAAAAAAAAAAAATGCCTTGTTAATGATGAATGTTTGTCTCACCACCGTGTTCTTCAAATTATGTTCTCAAAAGACACATTACCTATTCTCTCAACATTTCCAAAGGTCAAGAACTTATTCAGCCAGATAACACAATCCTTTTTGCCTCTTTCAAGAAAGCTTTCTGCAATGTCTTCATTCCACTTATCTCTTGCTTTCTTTGAAAGTATGTATTTACTCTCTTCCAGAGTAATGATATCCTCTCCATCATATCCAAATGCATCAAACTTATTAGAATATTTGGTTTCATTATCCCAGGTACAGCCATATCTCCTCTGATAAATGTATGCACCTGAAAGAGAGAAAGGATTCAGAATTTCTCTATAAAGTTTTGTTATATGTTCCCACTGGCATTACTATTCACATTTATTGTGTGCTTTGTGTGCAGTAAACTATGACAAACCTCCAGTGTGGCTGAAAAGATTCTTGACATAGTCAGTATACTTTGTGAAGAGCGCGCACGAATGTTTATTTCTTGCAGCAACTGCATTCACAAAGTCTTCAGATTCAGTTTTCTTCATCCACTCTTGCTTGGGAATCAGCTTCTGAATGTTACAGTCATAGTAACAAACCTCCTGATCATCCACTTCTGTTACAGCAGTAAACTCAACCCCTGGAATACCCTGTACTTTAGTGTAGGTGATGATGTAGGAATGAAGCACTGAAAAATATTTTTTTAAAGAGACAAATAGCATCCTGGTCATTTTTAATATAATAAATAAATAAATAAAAATCAAATAGTTTTGTATCATGCAAACGTTCTGCCAAACCTAAACTAGCAAAACTGTAAATAAGCATTGCTACTGACTTCAACTCTGTTTAAAGGAATGAGCTGATAAAACATATTTTATATATTTATGTTTTTTATTTATTTATTTATTTATTATTATTATTTTATATATTTTACACATTGTATCACAACATTGTCTTACAGAGAAAAAAAGTATTTTAGCAGAAAAGCATTGCTTTATCTTTATGGATGCATATACATTTTCACACAGACTAAAAAGTAAAAACAATTTTTCTTAATTTTTGAAATTGACGACATCAGGAGAAAAGAGATTTTCACATTAAGGTGACTTCAGTGCAGAAACTATACAACGCAAAGTAGATTGTTTAATCAGTTCAAATAGTTTGGACTATGTAAGGCATGAACATAGCAGACGTTAAAATGTATATCATAATTGTTTAATGTTATGACATTTGAATATTGCTGTTTATACACTGAGCATATGCACGCTCGAGTCAGGTTCTTCCTCGGTGATTGTCAAAACAGGAATTTAACTTGTTAACCCAGTAGATAGAAAAAAAATAATAAGACAATTATAGATTTCCATCATGAAATATAGATGGACTGAACTCAAGTTTGTATTACTTTTAATTAATTGTACCCCTCCCCCCCCAAATAACATTACAGTATCATGTAAAACACAATTCACCAATGTGCTTTCTCATATTATAAATGCAAAAAGAACTAGCTCAGTGGAAAATGTTAACAGATCCTACAGGAACATCTGAGTTTTAGATTATGGACTTGGTTTACAGTTTGGGCCTGATTTTGCTTTCACAATAATAATAATAATAATAATAATAAGTGATACATTATGAAATTATATGCAATAAAAATACATAAGATCAAGAACATTTCTTTGCTGTTATGGTTTCATTATTATTAGTCTACAACTTAATCTTATAACTTATATCAGCAACATCTTAAAATAAAATAAAGATCATCGCCAAATGCAAACTAGTTTTTGATCAAATGATACAAGCATATTAGATGAAAAAAGCTATACAATTCATAATTAAGCTAAATTACATTAAACGCTGAATTAATTTATACGGGAGAAAGGAAATTGTTTAAAGAGCAACAGAAGAACAGGCTTTGCCTACATCAAAAACTTTACGTTGCGTTATGATTACCAAAGCTACCTATAAATCATTCCTATCCGCTAATAATTATTCCTACCTGCATCAGTGAAGAGAGGCAAGAAGCAAAGAGCAAGGGGCAAAAAAATGCCCATGTCTGAGAGAACTAGCTGATTTATTAAATTAACCGAGACCAAATTTCAGCCATCAACTATACTCTGCCAAGTACACATACTTTCACTTGTAAATCGGTAAATTATCTGTAAGCGAAAGGTAGATGAACCAATCAGTGTTTAAAAAACAGCTGTCTCACTAAATACTAGGCAGAAGACCGCTGCCGCCGGAAATCGCTGAAGCGGAGAAAGTAACACTGGGGGCTCGAGTCCGGGATTCGTTCGTCGCAGGTGGTGAGTTATACGGACATTTTAAACTGTTAAACCGAACCAGACATTGTCAGAGAAAAATGGCGGATACTCGGGAGAGTGCGAGTGGTGAGAAAACATTCTCATTTAAATACGAGCAGCCTGTGGAATCCTGCGATGTCGGAAAGGACAGAGAATGATGGAAAACTAACACATATATCATTTGTTGACTGGCTAAATTAAATGGATGAATAACAACAATCCATTTAAATGCAGTTCTGCCCTGTGTCCAGCATCCGTTTCAGTAAGCAGGCCCACATGTTGCTATGAGCCACAGGTAACACAGCAAACAGCGAGAGCAACCAATCCATTTATTAGTGGGGTGGAAAATAACCATATACATGACAGTGGAATCGATACACAATGCTACACACAGAGTACTCCAGCAAATTTGAACTACTCACACTCGATACGCACAGATTTGACAGCCAAACAGGTGCTTCAAGGCACGCCCACAATAAATCGCCAGCCTTGTAAACATGATGTCTGTGCAGCTCAGCATAGCATTCGTGAGGATGAAGGTAACACTATGTATTCCAATGTCGATGAGTGTTGTATCCCAGAGCTTACTAGGTCCAGCCAACGTGGAAGGAAACCACGTCGGACATTCTGTGTCCTGTCATCAGACAGTGGGGAGGAGTGCAATGATCACAGAGAAAGGATCCCCACACTGCGACCAGGTCAGTTTGATGGCTCTACTTCATGGAAAGAATTCCTAAACCGCTTTGAGGATTGTGCCAGTGCTAACCATTGGTCTGAAAGGACAATGACTGTGCAGATGAGGTTTTGTCTAGTAGGCGCAGCAGGTGCAGTGATCCACAAGAACCCCAGGTCCAGCCGTTGGGATTATGCCCGCATAGTAGAGGAAGTGGAGGCTGCATACGGTCCTTCATCCGAACACGCTGCTGCCATTGGAATAGAGCTGAGGCAGAAGGTCCGCAGGGCAGGTGAGCCACTCCATGTGCTAAGGGACGACATTTATGAAAAAGTCTCCATTGCTTATGCAGATCGCTCTGAG